ACTGTGACCCAAGTCTCGGGAATGAAGAGGGAGTGTCCTTGATAATTGCTTTCCTGTAGGCCAAAGAGCTCGTGAGGCAGTGGCGAACAGGGATCAAAGCTTTGCTGAGTTGGAGATGAGCCAATTTGCCTCTCACAGTCCTGAGTTGATCCCGAGAGGAGCCTGGATTGTGTGCCCGACTACCATTCTGCTCGCCCCTGTTACTAACCACGCACAGGCTCTCACGGGAATGCCCCCAAAACCGTGTCCGACCAGAGCAGCCATGGAGCCCTAGGAGTGCATGGCATAACACCTGTCACCACGCCCTCTTCCCTTCCCGGCCACACATGCATCCCGCCCATTGGCCGCCACAACATTGAGCCGATATTCCCGCTAACCATGGCCACCGGCCCTGGCCCGGGCCTGGGGTGGCCTCCCCTTCCCGAGGACCATGGCTTCCGAGGCTGCCCCGGGCCTGGGATCGGACGGCTGCGGGGGTGTGGGTTCTTCGTTCTTATTATTATAGATACTAGTCATAAAATATTTTCTGTTCTGCCAGACCAGGTGGGAATCAATGGTCCACGAGGAAGGAGTTAAAAATCAATGGCCCTGAGTGACGATTGAATGAGGGCTTTTATTTCATTTCCATGCATTCCCCGCCCTCTCTAGCTCTCTTCCTACCGTAACTAGGGTTTTCATCGTTGCCTGCGCGATGTGCCAGAGAGTGAAAGCGCCCCGCGGCCCTTCAATGGCACTGCGATTGCTCCACCACTGCAAAGCTGTGGCGCCTTGTTGGCGCTGGCGGAGGACGCGGCTAAAGAGCTTCAATGTGGCGCAGAGGCATTGTGATCGGATCCAGGTGCGCCTTAGCCTCGTGGATTTTGGAGTCGAATGCAAGCAATTCATCTCGTGTTTGTGGCATTGACAGGCAAGGACTGGTGCTCTTGAGATTAAATTGAGGAGCTCTTGCTTTTTCGCCTTTGCAGGTTTCTGGCTGGAAGTTGGGACCGAGAAAAGGCTGGCCGGTTGGTGAGAAAGGAAAATCTTTTGGAAGGCTGCATTGGCATCTCTTCTCCTGGTATGTCATACGTTGGTTGTGTCCTTTGATTCTAGGAAACATAGCTAGGAGGTGTTGTGGTGTTTCTTACTCTCCGATTGAGCTGAGTTTTTTTTTCTCTCTCGTGTTCTCGCAACACGAAACGATGCAGGACGGTGAGAGTCGACGAGTACCGCTAGAGAAGGATGCGAAGCTGCGGTATGAGTTCGTAGAGCTGAGGCTTGACAGCTCGAGAGAAACTTATTGGGGAAGATGTTCAATTGCACTAGGAGGGCGTCCAAGAAGGTCAAGGAGAAAGTGGATTTTAGTATCCATTTTCACGCGACGCAGGTAAGTCTTTTGTTTCCGCTCCTCGTGGATTTCTCATGTCTATTGTAGATTCATACGGCATGGGATAAACTGGCTGTGTCCCTTGTCTCCTTGGATTCTGGAAAAGTGACTGGGAAAACTCGCAAAGCTTCTGTTCGAAATGGTCAGTGTCATTGGCCAGATGCAGTTTTGGAAACTGCCAAGCTTATACTGGACATGAAGACGCATATGTATGACGAGAAACTATACAAGTTCGTCGTGGCTAAGGTAATTCCTTTGTTTTGCTTAGACGTTCTCACTGGTCCTTGATGTTGCAGGGGTTTTCTCGCTCTTGTGTTCTGGGAGAAGTCATTATCAATATAACCGAGTATGTTACCGCCGCTTCCCCAACGTCAGTAACTTTACCCTTGCGGTTCTGCTATGCAGGCACTCTTTTACATGTAAGTTGCTAGATCCCGCAAAAGAACTCTTCTCACGAAGGGCGCTTGTTGGCTGCAGATTAAAATACAGTGCTTGACTCCTAAATCCATAAATAAGCCGCTTTCATGGATTCACTCTGGACATGTTTCCGATACCGAAACAGAAATGTATTCTGCATGTGGAACGCCGTTACCATGCACAAACAGCCCCGCTCATTATCTTTGTCGGACGGTACGCAACGCTTCTTTTCTTTA